GTCTTTCGCGTATGTCGAAATATTGCATGATCAACGGCGTCTACTGTATATAGGGGAGAGCACAGGGCTGCGCGCGTTCTCAATATCGAGTAATGTGTATTAGGGACATGTAAATATTTAATGTTTAAGTCGAAATATAACCATAAATGGCAACAAGACATATTTAAAATATAATTGAACGTCCGTTTTCGATGATAAACCTCAAACCTATAATTGTTTAAATGCAACCAGAAAATGCTGCTAAGATAAACGAAAGGAAAAGTTTATGAGGAAAGGCTAAATTTGTGAATGTGACAGTGTCGAGGTTGGTGTTAAAAGCAGGCCGAACGTTTTGCGCAATCCCGTTATTTTAATTCATTTTCTACTTAGCGTATGGTCTATTCTGGGCTATAGCTTTGCCTAAAGTTTAATTATACAATGTTTGTCGGAAAATATATTTGGTGAGCCTACACAACATAGATGAAAAATTTAAGTACGCGACAAAAGCGTTTTAAAATCATCCAATCTATAATACCACACACATTTTGTGTTTCGTTATACAGTTTTATTTATAAACACTTAAACAACCTGCCTTTTTGCTAATGCTTATCTTAGAGGTATATTTGAAATAAAAAAATTAAGGATATTCAGATTTAATGTAAGTTTCAAGTATTGGAATGTGCTGTCGTAGACACCTGTCACTCTTCGTAAGTGACATAGGTTGAAAATGCTGATTAAAAAACAGTTTACTTAAAATGAGCTTTTCAGATCTAAATTATAAATATGTCGATCATATTAAAATGTCATTAAATGTGTTGACTGCAAATGTCAGACAAAACGAGACCTGTCTGTACTTCAAATCGTTTCATTTTCTGACGCTCATTAAAGCGGATGTTCCTGAAACTGTAGTAAAATGTTTCTTGTTCCCAGGTTTATTGCCCCAGGTCGCCAGCTAAAAACTATATTTTGTTCTCCACGAGTACTTTTAGCCTGCGTACTGAGCTTGTGCAATGTTGCCATCTAGTCAGTGCCATTTTCATGCTTTTTTTTCGATAAATTCTTGCCGTGACAGCAATAAGCAATTAATAAGAAAAAAAATATATGTGCGCATAAGGTGTTTGTAAAATGTGGAGTTAAATCCACCAAATAAGGTATTTAAAGAGAGGATACTGGGTTTGGACACTATGGCCCCACTATGGCGTTCACTGAATGTGGAGTATTTACAGCGTCAAGAAAAACTATGATATTATGCCAACACCAGTAATCACCCTATCAAACTAGATCAATAATTATGCCCGCACAAATTCACATGAGAAGGAGAACAGGTAGCTTTTCAGTATTAAAAAAAACTAATATACGACGAGCAAAAAACAAGAAGAGGCAACGTCGGCATAAACCGAAATTTGCTGAAAGTTTGCACATTGTTACCTGAAAATAGGGATTTTTAAAGGGATCATTATATCAGAGAAGTAGCTACAGGCCTGCGATTGATATTTTTGGAAAATCATATTCAGTCCTACTATTTCGATGATCTGACTTGTTAATGCCGAATAATTCTCATCTTACCTCAGCATCTCCAAAATACTATTAAAAAATTAATTAGCTTTCAAATTTATTAGAAGTTTTAAAGCCCATTCTTTGAATACGATAGTTTGGCGCTACACGCATAGTTCGACTATATAGATAGGTTTATTTAGGAAATGGAGGGGTCTTATCAAATCTGCCACCGTCGATGTCGTTTAAAGCAGGAAATAAGCTCTGTAAGTTCAAAAAATACATAATAATAAATATAGAAACATATAATCCCCAGGGTTTAGAAGTAAACACGTTATCAAGGGAACCAAAACCTAAAAATTAAGTGATCAAACTGATAGCGTATCATTTCAAAATAAATTATTTTAACGCAAATTCATTTCAGAAGACAAAGTGGCGAACATGCATTTGGTGAATTTTCGTAAGGCCTTTACATTACATCTTTTAACTGAATTTTTCCACGAACCAGCATAGTTTATTTATTCCATTACTTTATAAATGTAAAGGCCTGAGAAGTGTTAAGCAAACGTATTTTCGTCAATTTACCTTCTGAAATTTTAAATAGGAATTTTCGCAAATTCAAGAGCAAATTAATTTCTTTAGAGGGGTCAAAAAGGTCTGCATGAAATAAATTCAGAAAATGGACCACAAATGCCACTGCTATTCTTTGTCTGAGATGGTTTAGATTTCATTCACTTATGAGCTCTCAGCAATAATCAGCTATTTTAAAATATCATCTTTTTCATTTGAATCTGTGCTTTTATTTCACCGAATGTCGAACTTGGCGGCCTTGGTTCGTCTTGCGAATTGGGTAAGCGACCCTCAGTCAATACGCCAGTTTTCAAGTCCCAATATCCGACTTTTTAGCTTAAGCCTACATTAACACGTTTCATAAAGTCTCCTTCAAGGTTGTAGAATTAGGATTTGTCACGTCTTTTGCGGTTTCTCTTCTGTAAAAAATTGTGCAGGCGCATAAATTAAACCTGAAAGGCAGACTGTACCAACTTATCACTTTTAAAACTCTAGCACAAGCATTCCATTCTAAATCCATCGGGCAGGTCAATGACTTACTTGAAACACCAAAGAGAATCAATGTAAGCAAAAAGATGGTCGCAAAGTAGGATACAACGACGTTCCCCACACAAATGTATCGCTGAAACTCCGGTTCGCCTTCATCGATATCCGCAAGACAGGGATGAGGAGGAGGACGGCCGGGTTTTACAGTTGTCGTGACCTCTATGACCAGCGTCTGATTAGGAGACGTTTCTGTTTGCAGTGTCTCATTTAGTTCCACTAGAGTGTCGTTAACAAAGATGGAAACGTTAGCGGTCTCTTCAGTTATTGTTGTTGGTAACTCGGTACTGGAGACAGTGGAGGTGCTAGTAGTACTGGCGACCGTGGAGGTGCTAGTGGTACTGGAGACAGTGGAGGGGCTAGTGGTACTCCAGGCATCCACGTCGGTAGACTCCTCTTGCTCTGTTACCGCCACGGTGGTTTTGCCTGGCGTGGTTTGTGACATTGCCACTGTTGTGGTAAGACCGTCAGTGTAAAACTCCCCTATCATTGCATCCTCCGTTGTCGCATCGTCGGGCACCGTGGTTTTGAATTGCATTTGGTCAGTTGTGTCATTCGGGTCTTCTAGAACCGTTGTTTGGGTGTCATTTTCAGACTGTTGATCAGGAATATCAGTTGAGATGGCGGTTTCTGTTGGCTCTTCAGTTACAGCTACGAATAAATCATCATTGGAGACAGCGGAGATGCTAATGGCACTCGAGGCATCAAATTCGTTAAATCGATCCTTCTCTGTCACCATCATGGTGGTTTTAGCTGGCGTATTTTCTGAATCGGCCTCAATTATGTTAAGATCATCAGTAATAACATCCCCTTCTTTCAAATCTTCGGTTATTCCATCGTCCAGCAATGTGGTTGCAAGTTGAATTAGCCTAGTTGTGTCATCCAATTCTTCAGGAATTGTTGACTGTATATCATTTTGAGTCTTTTGATCAAGACTATCAGTTGGGATGGCGGCTTCGGTTGGCTCTTCAGTTACTGCTGCTGATAAATCAGCACTGGAGACAGAGGAGATGCTGGTGGCATCCAAGGTATCAAATTTGTAAAACCAATCCTTCACTGTCACCTTCAGTGTGGTTTTAGATGACGTAATTTCTGGAATAGCCTCGGTTGTAGTAGGACCAACAGTTTCTCCCTTCGCTCCCGTTGCATCCTCCGGTATCGCAGTGTCCAACAATGTAGTCAGGTCTGTCAGATCTTCCGACACTGCCAACTGAGTGTCATTTTTAGACTGTTGACCAAGAAAATCAGCTGCGGTAAACAGCAGTAATTCAAGCAGTAAACATAGTTGGTAATTTTTAATCATATTTGGAGCTTCAAACCCTTTCTGTTACATCGGATTGCAACTGCCTGCCTGCATACATCGATTGTCGTTCAGAAAGGATACAAAACAGGAGGTTTGTGCAGCCAGCTGACATCCTAGTGTGCCGGGGAGGCCGGCCATTGATTGTCCGGTTGCGTCCAAAGGAGGTCGACCAATCAGAAATTTCGCTGGGTGCAAACACAGCAGCAGCAGCTGCAGCACCATTACTAGTGCACACGTGCAGACGATGTGGACGCATTAGTAAGACTCGCGAGGTAAGCAGGCACCAGCACCCGCGAAACGGCACGTCCGCGCTACCATGTGGCCACAAATTTCCGGGGTTGCTAAGCTGACAATTGTCCAGCGCGGCTTGCCCATGGAAGAAATGATGCGCTTCGCGTACGGTCACAAGCACTGCTTATCTTTCCGTGCTAGCAGTAACTAGTATAGGCACTGCAGGCCAAAGCCTAGGAGCAAGGATTTGTATTCGATAAACGCTAACTCCCAAAGTAAAGGGCACATGAGGGAATGTGAGGGCTCATAGCTGGATATTTATTGTTTCGAAGAAGCACAGTACTTAATAGGGTACGTGGTAAGGGCAAATATAAACGCTAAACACTAAACTCGCCCATCCAGTAAAATGTTTGTGTTCCGTTCAGTTGACACGAATAAATGTTATGAAATGCAAGTCAGTTAAGTCTGGAGGAATATATACAGGGTGTCCACAAAGTCTGAGTACATAGGAATTTTAATATTTTATTTATTTATGTAAGTTTTGTTGGGACGGCAGAGTCCCATCATTAGTCAACAACGCTTAGGCTCTCAGCGCAGCTGCAGCGCAAAGTCCCACGCCATGGCTTGAAAACGCGTCAATAATTATCGATTTTCCGTCTATCTGATTGGACCGTGAATACTGACGCCTCCTCGCTATGCGCACTGAATAAATAACCTGGAGCCTTTCTCTGTGACTGACTTGCACTCTTGCATCGAATTATGCATTGCAAATAATGGAAATCATATTGAAAATAAAATTTCTTAACATTATAATTTGATAAAATTGTTTTGTTTTAAGGGTATGTGTTTATTCCCTATATACCCAGACTTCGTGGACACCCTGTACATTGTCCCAACAAAACTTTAAGAATGAAATAGTATCTAAAGGATGAATTCTGACAAAAAATATGACAAACAACCTCCGGGAGTAGGCACAAGGTGGTATCAAACCTAACTTTTGTCACTGCATGATATATAAAGCAAATTGTGCACTGAAATATCTTATCATTTGTCTCGATGTTTAACAGTAAATACCTTCCCAAATTGCTGAATCAGTGGTCCATTTTTCTTAGAAGCAAAGCAACCCGCAGCGATCGATTAATAGAAACGTTTTTTAAAGTGCTGATTATTAATTTGAAAAGTCGATTTGGCAAAATTTGCTTCCTGCAACCCTTCACCAGATCAGTACATTTGCAGGGATTGTGAAAATTTTACAGACGGACAGGGTTAATAAGTGCACTTTGATTAAAACTCATCGCTTTCACGCCGCCCGCGTGGTGAGATCGGCGTGGAGAGATTCTTGTCTCGGGGGAGGGGGGGGGCAGGGTGGAAAGTGGCTAAATTTTTGGGCATTGGTCAGGAGTCAGTCCCATGGAATGATAATTACTGTCATTTGCACGGAGCGAACGACTGTCAGTAGGCAGTGGGAGTGGTGTGCAATCGTCGCCTGGAGTCAGGTCCAGCTACGGAAGTAAAGATGCTTGTGTTAGCATCTTCTGACAACACAGCATTAGATTCGCCAGTTGTATAGCCACTGCTTTGGCTGTTGTAAGCAACCGTTGGTAAAGGCCCTTGGAAAAGTAAGCTAGTGTCGGGTGGACAACCTGAAAGGCCTCATTAGTATCAATTCGATGGTTCGTATGGACAAGGTGTGCGTGAATAGAACTCGAGAACTATCTAGTTTCACCTTTACTTAACCTAGCCGATGTGTGCTCATGTACCCTCTTTTCCAGGCACCTCGTTGATCGGCCGATGCACTCTGTTCCACAGGAGCAAGTGAAAGAGTCAATGCACATGGATGTGGCCTACAAAGAGGGTCGGTCTTTGCCTCCCAATTGCACGAGGGGAGAGTTCGTGAAGAGCACGCGTAAATCGAAATCTCCACGCGTCGTCTTACCATCTTGCTTGTTGCGTCGCCTAAGAAAAGCAGTCTTATGAACATTTCTTTCTTTAGTAAAGTGAAGGTGGAAGGCTTTTTGGTGCGTTCGCTAATTTTCCTAAAGATGAACCTTTCTCAGTATCCGTTTTCAAGAAGCGTAAATTGCAGCTGTTGTAGTTCTGCTTCGACGGTTTTTAGAAGCGCAACTATTGGAACATTAACAATTAACCCCGCATACGTTTTTGCAATAATCAATTTTCCGCCATTTTAGTCTTTTCCTTGAACTAAATTTTTTAATTCATGCCTAGTTTCGAGTCAGTTCAATGATATTAGGCTAATGTTGTCTTATCGCAAACTTTTGCTTATAAGTCAGTATCTGGAAGTTAACACAAATTTTCAGAAAGTTTCGGCATTTGAATAGCATAAAGCCGTTGGCATCCATAAGCAAGATAAGAATTTGGTACTCTTATCAACTGTGCCACATCTGTAAGCTGAAAAAACGCATACATTCGTATGTCCAACTTATGCCAAGTACGAAGTAAGGACAGAGGACGTTCCCTGCTAAATGCATCTAAACGGCTGACTTACCATTTTAATGGAAGAGTGATTTGATACCTGGTATTGTGGTCACTTATTTAAATCGAATATGATGTAATTCTTCCGTATTATATAGTTAATTTCGGCCACTCCAAGGCATTTTGGTTGCCACGGTAAATTGCGATGATGCTGTTAGCAGAACTACTTTCTTAACGAAGTAGCACTTATTTTCTTCGTAAACGATAATTTTGTTTCATTATACGAAAGCACACTGTTCATACGCTCTTGCCCACACCAACTGTAAACCATCCACAAAGCAAATTATTAGCCTACTAAACATTAAAGCACATCTCATAAAATCGTTCCGTTTGTGAAGAAGTTAATCTTCACGTTTATTGTGTGCAACCGATGCAACACTTACGTTAGCAAGTATTTCACAAATGCCATTAAATAAATTTTCCACCCAAAACGCAGTATTTAAAACTGCTTAACGACTAAAGCGACTGCCTGAAGTATTTACTCCTTTAAGTTTGAGGAACAATTGAGCATTCTGGCCGTCCTTTGTCGAGGGGTAATCCGCCATCGATACGACTTACAGATGAACTTTGTGCGGAGCATGGGGAAACGGAAATTCCCTTTTTCATTCATGGAAATACACGGGCTTAGGATTCCGTCGTAATGCAGTTGGCCTTGCACTTAATTCCAGGATGTTTAAGGCTAGGAAAAAGGTTAAAATTATCGTCCATTTTGGATATCCCTAACCCCAGATTTCTGCCTTGCGGGAGTGGTGGTGCTAATTTAGTTTTTAGTCTTTTAGTTTTTTTATTTTTAATTTAGTTTATTTGTTTATTTAGTTTGTTTTATTTAGCTCAGGGTAGTTTGTTTAGCTGAATTTAGTATAAATTAGTTGTCCAAGTATGTTTATCTTAATTTGAAGATAGCTAACTAAACTTTAAACTTAACTAAACTAAAATTAATATTGAACCAACAAACTAAACAATAAACTAAAATCTAAACCAAACTAATAACCATAGGATTAGGGGCAGGTTACCAACTTTGCTTTTACCAAATTTAGGGTGAGAAATAATCAGGTTAGGGTTAAGATCAAAGTTAGGGTTGGGTTCAGGCATAATCCTAGAATTCAGTCTTAAGTTAAAATAAAATTTAAGGGCCAGGGCGAGAATACGGGCATATTTCACCTTAAAGTTTGTAAAGTATTTAGCAGATTGGAATAACTAATTTTATCTAGTGTTGAAAATGTCGGAGATCTCGGAGGGATTCGAATTCGTGACAGCAAAAGGAAGGCTTAAGTGCAGTTAACGTTTTAGCCAACTGTCCTACGAGGCCCCTCGTGTAGGAATTTTCGTAAATCCAATGTTGTTGCTGTACAGGGTAAGGCCTGTCTATTTTACCATGTCTCATCCGGTTCTGTAACCAGGAACGTTCAACGAAAAAGAATCCGGTATCCTATTCTCCCATCAAAAGCCACTGCGCCCGTGCTTGTAGACATATTTATCAAAATATGCGCGCAGAAAAAAAGTGCATACCGGGTTGTTTGTCTAGCAAAACCAAGTACCAAGATGGACTCAGTAATTTGCTGTTTTAGAAGTACTTTTAAGCATTGTTCCGTCTGGTAGTGTAGGCAGATAGTATAACTGGCAAAGACATAGGAAACTGGAATGGTCATTGCTGGCTTATTAGCCGTCATCAGCCAGTCATATCCAGACCCAAGTGGCGTCTCACCCGAGCCTCGAAGGGTCAGGGCGTTTGACTCTGACCAAAAAGGTTGCGAGGTTTAGCCTCGGGTTTCGCTTCACTTGGGGTTGGGTATGACTGGCTGACGACAGCTAATAAACCAGAAATGGCCATTCAAGTCTCCCTTGTCTTTGTTGGCGATACGATCCGCCTAAACAAGAAGCTGCTACAGCTGTCAGGGCCTCTATTGACACCCCTGGCGCAGCGGGACAGATGAGTTCTGGTATTGGTCGGGTGAACGTTCATCAATGATTATTCCGTCCGTCGTACCTTCATTCAGTTGCTGTCCGCTCAATATAACGGCGGTTCAAAGCCTAACTGATATGAGCCGCGGGCTATTTTTAAAGACCCTTAGTATCTTTTTATCTTCGCGGAAATAAAACTCCAACGCCGCGAGTTTTTCACAATTGGGTCAACTTAATTAAGCAACCTTGCCAAAAGACCTAAATATATTTAAGTAAATTTTCTTCCTCGGGGAAGTACAGGGTGTCCCCATAAAATGTAAACACACTTTAAATAATTGTAAACTGGGTGTTAGCTATAATTTTATTATTTCAAC